TTAATCATTAAATCAATCTTTACATATTTTTTTCTTTATCCGTTCTTTCCTTTTAAAATTATTTCTTCTTTTTATGTCATATTGTGATACTATCTATGTATACCTATGAACCCAAAATAATATGTGCGAATGCAGATGAATACTTGCTTTCTGTCATTGTTACCTGGTGAAAATGAATGATTATAAGAATTAACTGTCGTGTTTATATGCTATATGTATGTTTATCTATTAATCTTTGCAGGGATTATTTTTAAAAAACAAATAAAAGTTACTAAAAAAAAGGTCAGGCTTCATTCATTAGAGCGATTTTGAGTTCAATCTCGGTTTGAGTCCCTTCTCATGTTTTATTTGTTCCTTTCGTTACATTTTATATTTTATTTTGTCTAATTATATTTTTTTCTCCGGGTATGGTTTTATGCAGCACTCACCTCAGATTTCGAAGAGGTGTCCCTTTACCACCTTCGACTTAACATTATTGGTAGGTGAGAGGGATGTGAATATATCTGGTAACGCATCAGTGAGCAAGACAGATCCATTACACCTACCGTCATATCGTGTGACGCTGAAATTGCTGCTGCATTCGAGGTCACTCAGTACAATCATTTTTTTTAATATGACTTATTTCAATATATCGATGATGTCAAAATGAGCAGACGTCAATTCTTATCATCGTTTTAAAAAGAAAATTAGCATCGATTTTGAAATTTTTTCTTGTTACTCAATATAGAATATTTTCAACTGACAATCAATCAATCTATCTATCTATCTATCTATCTATCTATCTATCTATCTATCTATTAGTTTCAGTTTTACGCTTTCATGCCTATTTATCTGCATTCACATGCACACACACGTAGGAATGTCAATCCCATAAGGAAGTTACGAATAAAATTTCGTTAACCAAAGTAGAATAAAAGCAAATTTTGTACAAGAATGAAACATTCTAGGAGCTACTTTTTAAAAAATTGATTCCTAATACGAAAAGCGAAATGTGCAATTTTTATTACTAATCCATATACTCTTGGGGATTCTACTTTAAACACGGCCTTGTGCCATATTCCTTTCGAGTGGGCGAACGGATCAATATCCAAGGACTGTAGCCTTGTAATAAATTTGGAGCGTCGTCTCGCCTTTCCAGCTGAGCCAATGTTAAGCACCCAGCGTTGGGATCGTTTGATCTAGTTATTTAATTCCAAAATGCTTAAGCCATTAAATTAACGGTTCCTTTTGAGACGATATGTATATACTGAACATCAGTGTAAGTTAGAAATGTATGAAGATATGTGAGAGCAATTCACTGTGTCGGAAAACTAACAAAGCCTGCATGTTTTGTGAGGTACTGTTGGGCATTCACGGTTTGTAGTAATGATACTACGGCCTCAAAACCACCCCTGGCTCCAAAGTCATCATCTGATGAAGGATTTTAGAGGAACTTTTGTTATTTTTGCAGTAGTAATTGTATGGCATTATTTATATATGATCACTGACCGTATTAGTGTGGCATTTTACTCAGGTACTGTTCTAGCACTCGGGTGGTTTGTGTTCAAACCATTTTTCTGCATGGAGAGAAGATTAAATTCTTGACATATTTTTCACTCGCTTACCAATTACTTCATCACTAACCCAACTACAGGTATGTTTTGCAACCTGTCAGTTCAGAAACACTTCCACTTATCAAGATATTCTGTTAGTATAAGAAGTGAGATTGCATTCATCGCCGGCTTGCTAGGCATATCGTGTATCTTAGAGGACATAATATTTCTTAACAGTCTTCAATATGACTAGGCACATTGTTGCTTAACTTCGGTGATCGACGAGAACTGTGACTTCAGCTTGATATGACTGTAAGCCATATATATTTCATTGCATGTATTTACCTATTCTACTGCCTCATTATTAATACTATTCATGTACTTCCATCCTTCCATCAGATGGTTTATACTATCATTGGTGATTGAGTGATAGCAAGATTTCAGATTTTATCAGAAGCTTGTAAAATCCAGCAAAGCCGTGTTTAGAGGATTCTAAACTTCTTACCATTTTTGCGCAAAAATCTCATAAAATTTAAATTCTCGGGCTTTTATATTCTCGGTATTATGTGCACAATAATTATTAGTTAGAGGCACTGATATTGTTTAGGCAATCCGAATTGAATTAAATTATTTATATATGCTCAACCATACACAAATCGAATTTTCTGTAAAATATTACTTCCTTTAAAAGAACAAACATTTGTCTCTTTAATGAAAGACGATTAGGGTAATTAGCAAGTCAGTCATATGAACTGTTAAAAGTTGTCCTCATTGAAAAATCCACAGTTTTGGCCTTGATTAGGTAAGATTACATATCTACATATGACATCTACTGTGTTCTTATCATATTAATCAAACAGCTCATTTATGATGTAATGAATCCTACTGTGGTTTTTTGTGACAGAATCAGTTTTATCAAATGCAATGTTTATCGGCGTGAAAATTAAGCCAACTTTAAATTTCGGCCATTCAGTTTGTACTAATGCACTTCGGAAAGGTATGGATCGACTTATTCTCCTCTCCACCTAGGTACAGACTTAATAACAGGATAAAGTTCTAGACGCTCTATTCAACTCTGAATTGATTAATCATCTCACCTAAGTCAAGCAGTATGGCTTTCTCTTCTCTAGGTCAGTTGCTGATGTATTAACGGTTTGCTTTGGATATCTCGAAGATATTTAACAGAGTTTAATATACTTTCTTCTTCACAAGTTAAAAAGTTATGATATTTACGGGCGAATTTTTGAACTGATTCTATCTTTTTTATCAAATCGTGAAATGAAAATTATCTTGAACGGCCATTCTTCTAGATCTTTTTTGCATTAATGCATGTACCCCAACCCCAGGATTGGACTTACGTTGTTCTTAATTTTCTTTAACGAACGTCCTGATGTCATCAGTTCCCAACTTGTTAGGTATGCTGATAACACAGATATTTACTCTTTTCTTAATAGTATATCTAATCAGTTCGATAAATTCAAATTGACAGCTGATCTAAAAATATACTACAATCTGTTTTAACTGGGGCAAGAAATGGATTGTTAATTTTAATGCCTCCAAAATTCTCTTTTAATCGTTTAACTCTTCGATTTTAGACATTACAAGCGGACACAATTTTAACAACATGTAGATGACAAAGTGTTGAATGAAGACAAAGAAAAGAAACCGTCAAAATTCTACATAAGATAGTAAAGGAAAGTGAGAAGAAAGGATAAAACATCAATTGCAATAAAACATAGTTTATAGTTTTCAGCGAGAGAAACAGCCCAAGATGCGAATTGGAGATCCCAAATTCAAGCAACTAGGAAAATTTAAATATATGGAAAGTGTTTTAGCAGTTTAGGGGAAATATTATACCAAAATCCTAATGCGCCCTGGAATGGTAAAATATATGTTTAAAAAGAAAAGTAAAGTATTAAGAAATAAAAGTTTCCCTAGAAACAAAGAAAATAGTCCTGAACTGTTATGTAATATCAGATCAGTCATCCTATAGTGAATGCTGGACAGTAAGATGCATGGACGAACATGTGAGTAACAAGGATAACGATAGCGAAAATGTATTTTATGCATAAGATGAGAAAGATAAGGCTTCGAGAATAAGACACTCACAGGAAATATTGAATGCAGAAGTAACAGTGTAAAACAGCAGGTAAACTTAAGTAACAAACATGTGTAAATGCATTGCAGAACATGGAGTGTGGGGATAGTAAGAAGAGAAAACTCACTGAGCTACAAAGGATAGAAAGTCTGAAGGGACACGTAGTAGTATTAGTAGTAATTTAGTTGTGGTAGTAGTAGTAGCAGCAGTAGCAGAAGTAGAAGAAGAAGAAAAAGAAGGAGAAGAAAAAGAAGAAATTGTAGACAGATCCAGAATAGCTTTCAACATTTCAACCTAAGCGGAATTACCTGGTAGTGAGTTGATGTTTGTTCAGATTCGAAAGGAATAATAGATGATGGGACCTGGATGTTAGTTGTTACTGTACAACGTTATAGGGAGTCTCTTTCCGATGAAATATTACAACAAAAATTATTTTGATGTAAATCGACTGGCTATTTGGCTGCATGGCATAACCTGTCCTCGGTTTGTAAACAAAACTCGCGTGTTTGGGCTTTGATTTGTTGCGGAAGATTCACTGACAAGATCCACGCAAGATGCCACGTTTAGTCCTTAAAACTTACCAGGATTTGTTTCGAATAAAGACCATGTCCAATGTACCACGGTAGTCTCATTTAAATCGATTATTTCAGATTACTTCTGCAGCGTTATTGTCGTTTCTAGCCTCAGTGAGCATTATATATCTTATATATTCCGTAGACACGCCCATATTTAGGATGGTGAAGTTAGTTAAATCATACAATTACGAGAGAACTTAAACATTTAGAAATGTACGAAAACATTCTATAATGTATTCCTATCAAGGTAAGTATTGTAGAATTGCGGAAATATCATTATCATTCCTTATCAGATTTTGGTTAATATTTATTTGGCGATCTATCTATTTTACTCTATCTATCTTTATCTCACTCTGGATCTACACCTCTCTATCTCTATCTCTCTCTCTCTCTCTCTCTCTCTCTCTCTCTTTTCTATCTCAGTCTGAACATTATCTATCTATCTATTCGATATGATACTGGTCATTCTGCTCTGGTATAAATCGTAACACAGTGGCTTTAAATTTGTTCGCATCCTAAGCTACCATCTGTGTCATATGGATAAAACAATGTGTGATGCACATTTTCTAATGATCTTATGTTTTTCGCTACTTGATTTTTTACCTCCTCCCTTTTTCATATTCTCATGCATATATATTATTTCTTCTCTTCGTTTTTCTCTTTTTCTGCATCTTTTTTTTTCCATAATCACTTTTATCACTTTTCATTTCTTTCTTCTATTGTTTCTGCTTTTCGCTTTAGATATTTTTCTTATTATTGTAGCCCGTTTTCTTCTTTACCTTCATCTTCTTCTTATTATTATTATTTGTGTGTGTTATATTTTCTACTTTGTATCCTATAGATCTGAGTCCAAACTATGGTCCTTAGACCATATAGGAGAATTGTCATTTTAGTGAGAGCACTTTTCTTAGTAGATGGAACGTTCCTAGTAGGGCGATCTTCTGGCTAACTTGTAGGTTGATGTTACATGGGACATAGTAAAATTGCCCATCCCTTTTCTCACAAGGCCCAGAGCTCCGATTACTATTGGTACAGTCTCAATATTCATTCCCCACATCCTGTTAATCTCGATCTCCAGGTCCTTGTTGGACAATTTCTCGATAATTTTTATGGAGGCGTTTCTCTCAGATAGTACTTTTATGTCAATAAGCACATACTTCCGTAATTTCTTGTCTTTTATGATAATATAAGGTCTGTTGGCTTTTACCTCCCTGACAGTTTGAATTGTCCCAGATGATAGTTACATTGTTATTTTGGGTAACTGTGTCTGGTTGGTACTCATACCATCCCTCAATGGTCTCGAATTTGTGTTTCTTGCATATCTCCCAATCCCTATATGTCGCTATCTTATTATGTCTGTGTTTATATTCATTTTTTGCCAGTTCTGGACAGCAGGTTGTTGTTTTTGTTGTTTTTATTGTTATCATTGTTATTGTTGTTATTATTATTATTCATATATTTTTACTCTTAATGCAAGCTCACTTTCTAAATCTTATACATTTACCATCTACTTATTTCCTGATACATCTCCATATTCCACGGATATTACGCAGCAAATATTTGAAAAACTCGTGGTAACATGAAAGCGCTTACCCCGTTACCATTCATTAAGACAACTTTTGTCGCCTTTTCTTTATGATTGTCATCCTAGTTATCTCTCTCTCTCTCGCTCGCTCGATCGCTCGCTCTTTCTCAAACTGACACTTACACATACAAACCTACACAATACATAAGACGGACTTATTATGACGAGGACATTGTAGCATAACTTGGTTGATATAAATCACAAAAAATCATAAATATATTTAATACCTCTCATTTGAAATATATTAATGAAATAAATATAACTATTATAAATTATCCCGTGTTTACGAAAATAATGGCTAATTGAACTCACCCGAAACCACCAATTTCTTGTGGAGTAATGTTGCTGCAAATCCAATGTCATGTATTGGATACAACTGCTTTCAATCATGACTTTCTCATAGTTTCTTTTTATCACTCATTGTATCCCATATCGGTAAGTTGGGACATTAGTATGACTAAACATGGTAGGGTACTGATCTAGAAAGTCGAGCTAGTAAAAAGTTCTATGTCTCATAGAAATAAGTTATATTTGACGAAGGAACCTACCAAGATAAGAGATTTCATAGAATTGATTAAATAATAAGAAGCAAGAGGGAAAGGCCTTTGTCCATCAGTTTACTCGAAATAGCTGGTGTTGATAATGATGTTACATATTATCAATTATTAGTTTAATAACTACTTAATAAGTACTTTCGATCTGAACGCTCCTGGATTAGTGCACTTTTAGACTAGTAGTTTCGAACTTAATTCAGTACACTAGTTTCTAACTTTACGTTAGATTAATTGAAACTTAGTACATATCTTTGTTGTAACCTAGAGAAGGTTACTGAATACAATATCACACGAATGTTGGTAATGATGATAATACTTAGGAAAAGAACAACACATATAAGATTCGCCAGTGGCTTGTAGAAGAAGTAGTCAATTGCTAGAAGTGAGTCAAGTGAATTCCACAGGGAATCTCCAACTTCAGACCACAGACGGTATCTACCAACTTCCCCACGCCGTCAGATGTGGCACCAGGCCGAATATATTGTGGGGTTCCCGAGCCCGTAAGCTCAGCCAACATTTCCCCTTACACTCCGTATAAAACGGGGCCGATAGGTGCTTCCCGAGACGAGCCTCTTCCCTTTGGTTTAGCCCCGTATGGAGATGCTCTCTGCCTAGAGGCAGATAGTTTAACCAGCCCAGCTAAAGACAGAACTCCAACTGCAGACCGGCCGACGGTATTTATCAAATTCCCCACGCAGTCAGATGTGGCACAAGGCGGAATTTAATGTGGTGTTCCAGAGCCCGTAAGCTCAGCCAAAAATTCCCCATATAAAACGGGGTCAGGTAGTTGTTTCCCATGACGAAACTCTGCCCTTCGACATAGAGAATCTGAGAATGTTCTCAATCCCAGCTGAAAACGAATCTCCAGCTGCAGATTGGCTGACCAACACATACTGTATTTACAACTTTATTTCTGGGAGTGGCGACATACCCTTTATCATCCGTAGGTATGCTACAACAATCTTGAAAGCGGTTTACCATAGAAAGATACCGAGTAAACGTATTCTGTATACCACTGTTTGTTTAATAACTCTTTCAGTATATTATTCCTGTAACTTTGTTCTAGACTAAATCACTATACAAGTAGTTATATAATATTGTTTAATATGAGGCATCAAGTGAGAATCAAAGAAATGATCTGAAAGTCAATCCTGATGACAAATCCAGAATTAATATTTCTAAAGTAATTCGTGATTGTATTCAGAAATGTTCTGGCAACACGTAAAAACGCTGGAACCATTTGCATCGACATTTGCCTTTCCATTGAACCATTTCAATGACATAGAGGGTAGACCTACTGCATGATTAACTGCCTATTCTCCATATCTACTTACTATCGCCAGCCAAATGGACAGCAGTAACCTAAATTCCACGTTTGAAATATCATCTAGTGTAAAACTCCATAATCTCTCGAAGCAGATGAACGCCTAATCCTAAAAATGAAACATGGGTATTAAGGTCAGTCGGGAACTAATTTATTCTATCTTACATATTATTGTAATTCTTCAGTGGCTTTTGAAAAAGATGAAGCACATCTCAAGTGATTATTGAACAAGTTAAGGAAGGAATCTGGCGGTGAGACAGTCGGGGGAATAAAAAAGTTTCACATTGGAAATTTCTTATTTCTTGTAAAACAATACACTTATTGTATTACATTATAAACAATGTTCCGATTGCACATAGCGTAATCGTTAACAGGGTAGACACATCAGACAGCCATGCTCAAGTTTCAAAACAGTCTGTTACTAAGTCATGAATTTATTCTCCTTCTGTCTAAGAGTTAAACTGCATGCTGACGGGGTTCTGAATTCAAATATGTGGACAAACCAAAAGGAAACCCTTTCAGTATCTTTGCCAATAAGTGTGGTAATTCAAAATTATTGAAAGAAAAAAGAATCTGTGTAGTCATAAGTCCTGAAGAGATACGTCATTAAAAAAAATTAACTGTTTGAAATATTCCGGTTATAGGGTAGTGAGTGTAATATCGATGACGCAAACTGGCCGATGGCGATAGTAAACAAAGGCTTTGAATTTTGCATTAATATCGTTATTAATTCTTTTAGTGTAAAAATGGTTTATGTCACCAAGCATTTGACAAGTGGAATAATTATTACGTAAAAAATTAAAATCAGGAAGGGTTAGGAAGAGGATACCGGACAGACAAGAGCAACATAGAACGTCTGGGGAACAAGAAAAGGCTCAATCAGAAATTTTCCCCAGGACATTACTACTTGTAAATGTTGCAGAAAAGACATGATTGATTAGAAAAACGATACAGACAAAAAGATACTGGCAATTAAAATCGCAGTCTCTTAAGTGACTACTATTCTGGTATTACTCCCTCTCCCTAATTATAGCAGAATAAAGCTAATACATATATATATATATATATATATATATATATATATATATATATATATATATATATTAAGAAATGGATTGAGTCTGACAATTATTTCAATATATTTATTGTTTCTACGTTACTTTTATAGATATAAATATTTAAGTAAATGCTCTGTTTATAATAAACAATATTAACAACATTTACCGGCCTGAATGTCCGAGAAATCTCATAGAAAATATCTGTCCTCCGACGTCTAGCCTGACGTGCTATACCACTTACCTATAGAGGAAGCAGTAACTTGACCTTGCTGGCCAAACAGTCCCTTATAGGATACAGGTTCGCTTGTCGGAGGACACATATTTTCTATGAGATTTCTCGGCCATTCAGGCCGCTAAATGTTGTTAATACTGTTTATTATGATAAGAGCATTTACATTTTAAATATTTGTATCTATAAAAAATAACGTATAATTCATAATATATATATATATATATATATATATATATATATATATATATATATATATATATATATATATATATACGCATGTCTATATATATGTGTCTGTTAAAGGTTAGAAAAAAATTCACATATAAAATTACTTCTTGCTTCCCCAGCATAGCTAAAAATTATCAAGAATTTCACTATAACATATTTTTTTACTTTCCTCGTCTGTCTGTATGTCTATCTATCTATCTATTTACACACACACACACACACACACATATATATACATATATATATATATATATATATATATATATATATATATATATATATATATATATATGCAAATATCTCCTTTGATTCTTTTTTCTCTGTTCAGATAGGGTTATAAATGAAACTCTCTACAAAATGAAAAGTTCCTTTTCTACAACAACGTTTTAACAACTCTACAAAATTATTACAATCGACATGCAGTTATTTCACGTTTTCTCCTTATCCTAACATGATAGATTGCCACACCCCACGT